GCAGCCTGGAGTGGTTGAAAGAGCACTGCTTAGGGAGCTGGAGACTTGGGTCTAGCCTCAGCCCGTCCTCTGGCCGTGTGACCTTGATCAAATCACTTAACCTTTCTGGATGACATTGATCACATCAGCCGTTGGGCCAGATGGTCACCGAGGTCTCTTTTGGTACAGTGGTAATATGATTCCATGTTTTTCCTTTAAACCACCGGGCTGTATTCTCTCTTTTTGGTTTGAGAGAGAGAGAGGAGACCAGAAACCTTAGATGTCAGTATTAGGATATGTAATGGTTTCTGTGGTGGCAGGCTCAACAGCCCATGTTTTCTCATTAAGTTTAAACTCCAAGGTCAAAATAAATCCTCTAACCCTACCATTATTGACAGAATCAATATCTGCCTAGAATATAGATACCTGGAAAGAATGTTAGGACAGGGAGGGACCTTATCAGAACATTCAGTTTAACTCCCTCATTTTATGGCTCAAGCTTTTAATAATTGTCTATCTGGTCTGTCTGTCCATTCATCCATCCTATAAATGCTTGAGTGTCTCCTCTATAGTCTGAAGACATCTCAAGCTGTGCTCTGCAGACACTGTACTCTTGTTGGTCAACAGACATCGAAAGGAATATATTTCAGTACAGAAACATCCCAGTGATGGAAACACACATAAATAACAGAGACGTGGCCCAGAGAAGTAATGATGATTCTTTGCTGTGGGATGGAGGTGGTCAACAAAGGCTATGTTGAGGGAACTTTGAGAGAGGTTTCTGTGGGGTTAAGAATCTCTCTTTAACCAGCCACATCTTAAGAGACTTCTGCTGTATTAAGTTAAAATTCTACTTAGCATTATTACTAATATACACTCTCTGTTTCAGTGTAGAAAATGATCATGAGTATGTATTCTCTACCTTGAGGATGGGATTTTATTTATTTATTTTGGCTGTGTCTTACTGTTCCTTTAACTTGCTCATTATTAGTATTTAATGACTAAGAGAGCATTGTGCTTTTGGTACATCTTCCATCAGAAGATCCGAGGATGGCAGAGCAGAAGGGGCCATCCACGCCTATTATCTAGGTCACTTGTTTACTCCTGATTGGGTATAATTCATTTTTTGTGCCATCAGAGGTTTATACCACAACTTCTCCTCTGTTAATTAAGTGACTTTAAACCCACTCCTCACACATCCCTAATATTATGCCAGGGAAGGTATACAGATGGATGCCATACACTTCTTTCAAGTGGCATGATGTGGCCTTGGCTTGCAGATTCATTTTAAATAAAGTTGTTGAGTGAACATCTAATACTGAGCACCTACTGTGTGCAATAGTCATCTCTGCTTTTATAGATCATTAATTTAAGTGAGTTTCTTCTCAAATGAAAGTCGTTAATGCTTTTTGCAACCTTGGAATGAAAGAGGCCTTCCTAGGAAGAGGATCTTGTCAGGAGCCTGGTCCCTGTTTCTCTCCAGCTGTGTTGTAGTTCTTGAGGGCCCTGGCATTTCCATGTGTCCAGATTGCAAAAATAGCAGGAAATATTGAAGATATGAAGAGTTTGCAGGGGACATGAGGCCACTGATGAAGGAAACACAGTAGGGCTCTTCCTACGGTGTACCATCCACGGTTGGTTGAATCCACGGATGTGGATCCTACGGATACAGAGGGCTGACTAAGGGACTTGAGCATCTGTGGATTTTGGTATCTGGGGGGGTCCTGGAACCAATCCCCCTCGGATACTGAGGGACGACTGGATAATTATTTTTCTAGACCTTCCAGGTTCTTCAAGCTTCACATGAAACTAGTTTATTTCAGGAAGAGCCATTGTAAAATAAAATAATTCCTCCCCTCCAGCATTGTGCTCATCAAAAAAATTTGTGAGCTTGACATCTTAAAGGAAGGCCTAGACATGGAAGTATGGTGTCATGTGTGATGTTAGCACTCACCCGGGGTGGGATTGAGCAGGGGGTTGAGGGTGGCCCATCACTGTCACACAGGGAACTTCAAAAACTTGGCTCCACGACCCTTTCTGTTGAGTCACGATTTACCGAATGTTGTGAATTCGGGTTTCAAGAGCTAGCCATGTAAGTGATTAGTTTGTGCTGTGTTGATTAGACTTACCAAGCCCCACCCACCTTGGATCTCTGAGATTTTAGATGAGAAGCATGGTGCCCATACCCTGCCACATGGCTGTGCATCTGGTTTGCACCAGCAGAGTTTATAGGTGCAGTTCTGATGATTGAAATTTCACCCCAGGGAAGTGGCTACCTGCCAGAAATTCCAGCAAAATTCTTTCACCCTTGTCCTTAAATCATTCCTTAGGCGCCAAAACAAAGGTGCTGGACACCAGTGTGCTCTTGCCACAGGCCGGGGCTGTGCGGGCCCACGTGGTCTGGGGTGATCTCTGCGTGGGTTGCAGCCTCACTGATGGCTCAGCCCAGGGAGAGAGGAACGGAGCAACATTCCTCCTTCCTTAAGCTAAATCCTACTTTTTGACACTTTAGGGAACATAAAAATCATGGCTCATGGTATGTAAGCACATATCTATTGATTTCTTTTATGTAAAAATGGGGAGACATTCCAAAGGATCAGCTCAGCCATAATTGATGCTATGGGAAAGAGTTACTACGTTAATATTTAGCTAATTCATATGAGTAGGCTATTGTGTTTACTTAAACAAATGACATGAGTACAGACACCTGACAGCATGAGGTATGCTTTTCATTTAGCTCGGATTTATAAAACTCTTTATGTAGCGACGAAGCTCATTATGTACTTTGTGCTCTTAATGGTTTCTTTTTAGTGGTTGTGGCCCTGGATGGATTTTTCTAAGTAGAAGCTTTTAAAATGAAAGATTATTGACATTGTTTCAATATATGCCAGGCCCTGGGAGTCTTGTGATAACTAGGCATCAAGTATTCCCTGGTGAACCCTCAAAAGAATGGGTGTGTTTATGGGCATTTGACACCCAAAGCCAGATGGCTACCAAGTTGTCTACTCATTGCAGATGCAACTGGATTGAGAGGGAAGAATGCAGCCCGGTTCCTTCTCCCTCTGGCCTTTCTCTCTCTCGTATACATGACTGACCAGTTTTGCCTCACTTTGCTCTGTCTTGGAATCATGTGGACACCACCTATAGCCCAGCACCTTGATGCTTATGTAAGCAGAAAAATGAAGACGAAACAGCGTGTCCTGTTAAGAAATCCCAGTTCCACCTTTTACAGCAGGTTTCACGAGCAAGGGTGAGACAAGTAGGGGTGGGTGTTTTGGATGCAGTTATTCCAACTCCTAATTCTGCCATGGAAGTCTGGCCGTTAAGTGAAGGGGATCATTACCCCCCGGGAGCAAGCTGTGCCATCCACCAAATAGAGGAGGAGACTTCTAAATCCGCCTCAGAGACAAAGCCCCTGCCTAGGCCTGTTTTGCCTCTGGTTTGTGGAGTGTGAATGCTGTTGCTCAGTCTGACTCTCATCAGAAATAAGGAGTTATGAATCGGTCTTCTAGAATTTCAGTATTCTACTATGTTCTAGAATGTTCAAGGCCTCATTGATGGGTGCTTTTAGGGGAACACAGGGATTTTGATTATCTGTTTGCTAAGACAGAAACATACATGTGAAAAGTTAATTGCTGTACAAGGTTTCAGTGGCAGTTCTGGGCAGTAATAAAGGAGGCAGCATGCCTTTTGCCCAGGCTCACTGTCCTGGCCTTCTTATAGCCGTGCTATGAAAGACGGAGCTGGGATTTCTTATCAGGGCATGCTGTTGCTTCTTTGTCCTTCTGCTTATGTATGTGTCAAGGTGGTGGGATATAGGTGGTATCCACATGATGCCACACACACATCAGAGTGGTTGAAGGTATGGATTCCCACCCCTTGGAGAAGCGGGTTCTTACTAGCAGTGGACCAGAGCAGGGGTGAACACAGTGGGCTCGGGAATCAAACTGCCTTGGCTCAAATTCTGGCTGTGCTTCTTCCTGGCTTGGTAGCATTGGGCAGATTACTTAACATCTCTGTGCCTCAGTTTCCCCATTTGTAAACAGGGAATATAATAGTGCCTTTCTTGTCGGATTGTTGTCAAAGTTAATGTGTTAAACATATAAGAGCTTTTAGAGCCATGTCTGGCATATAAGAAGCGGCACTCAGTCAATAGCGATCATTAGCCGTTATTATCAGGCATGAGGAATTTACAGTAGTATTCCCGATTGATGCTATGGCTCTTATTTAGATAAAATGCCCTTCACTTGACAATTTAAAAACTTATCTCTTTTATTGAGTTTAAAAAAAATCACTAGTATCTATGATTTCGAGAGCCATATAGAAGGCACAACTTTACATAACGTTTAATTGGTAGCCTCCTATTAAGTGATCCGTTTAGGCGTGGTGGTAGAATTATGGCATTCACAATCACCATTGGAGAGAAAAATTTTTTTTTTTCCATTTTAAAAATTAAAATATATTTAGTGATATGGTTTGTTGGCTTGTCATATAATGTGCTGGGAAATTAATGATGCCTCCCTGAATTATTTTATCTTATTAGGATAATAAGTTATACTGTTGATTACTCTTTAAAGCTCCAGTGTAAAGTTGATATGGCTTTTGAGCACTTGTTTGTGTATATGTGTGGTCATCTCGTAGGTGTGGTGATCTATAATGATGTGTTTTGGGAGGACCCAGCTGTTGTTATTGTATGTGTAGTCACTGTGTCTATAAAGTAGCATTGTAAAACATGATTCAACATGAACTTATATTCTGGCACTAAGAACAGGGAGAGAAGGTGCCTCAAACACTTTCCCTGTTAATAGACATAATCTAACAAGCAGTCTATCTCCAGGGACCTTCTGCCAGGCCAGCTGGATTAGAGTTCTGCAATTTTTTCCTAATGTAAATATTACCCAGAGATTTTGAAAATGTCTGCTATTTCACATACAAAAGAAAATGATCTTACCTGTTAGGAGTTTAATAATGGAGATGAAGCTATCCATCTGTATATATTATAATGTTGTTTTCCAAAACAGGAGCACCATACTGGACCAACACAGAAAAGATGGAAAAGCGACTGCATGCCGTCCCTGCAGCCAATACTGTCAAGTTTCGCTGTCCAGCTGGGGGGAATCCAACACCAACTATGAGGTGGCTGAAAAACGGGAAAGAATTTAAGCAGGAGCATCGCATCGGAGGCTATAAGGTAGAATTAAGCTTTCAGAATATTCTATTTCTTAAATTTTTATTTATTCATTTTTTAAGTAGTCAAAGGTTAGCAGGAACTAGAAGGAATTTTTTAAAAAAATATCAGTAATTGTCATAATTGATCATTTCCATGTTGGATGTTTCAAAAAAGTTACCCTGGACTTGCATGTAATTTTAAAGTACAGTCCCCATTTGCGTTGTTCTTTATATGAGGAGAATTTAATAACAGAAGGGTCGAAAGTTGAGAGTCTGTTTTCTGTATGCTTTATAGTCTGTAAAACTTGAACTGCAGCAGAATTTGAGAAGCGTTAAGTACAGTTGCCCTATTTGAGCAGGATTGTATGAATAGGGGATGGACTTGGATTAGAGACTAGAGTATGAAATATTACTTATTAAGAGAGAACACTTCCAAGATGACAAAGGCAATCTCCCTGTCCTGCCTCTTTAAGGATTCTGAAGAGCCCATTACAAAACATGGTGAAATGTAGACTCATCACTCGCTGGGAAGGTTGAAATTGACAAACATCTCCCTGAATATGCCTATAAATGCCTGTTCAGGCTTCATTCAGCCATTTAACAAATGTTGCTTGAGCACCCTCTGGGGCAGGCACCGTCCTAGGCTCTGGAAGGCAAAGCCCCAGAGGCTCCTCTTCCAGCAGGGAAGGCAGACAGAACAGCTGACTATCAGGACACTGATGGGTGAGGTCAGAGGAGCATGTTGTCCTGTGGATGTGCAGGGAGAGATGACGTTGGCTCTTTTGGGAGACTAAGGATAAGGGAGATCAGGTAAGGATTTTGGGCTGAGTTTGAAGGAAGGGTGTCTCAGAAAGAGAGATATAGAAACTCCAAATTATTTAGTGCAGAAAGGGAGAACTTGAAGAATTTACTATATGACGAAGACTTAAGGGACCTTGCTGTGAAGTTCTTCAGTGCATTTCAAACATGAATGGATGCATCAGTTACCTTTAGCTGCATAACAAATTACCCCAAGACATAGTGGCTTGAAACAATAACGTTCATTATCTCACAGTTTCTCACCGTGGGTCGGGAATCCAGGTGCAGTCTAGCTGCGCCTTCTGTCTCAAGGTCTCTCACAGGACTGTAATTAGGTTCCAGTTAAGGCTGGGGTCTCATCTGAAGGGTCAACTGAGGAAGGATCTGCTTCCAGACTCACTCATGTGGTGGTTGTCAGGATTCACTTCCTTGCAGGTTGTTGGACTGAGGGCCTCAGTTCCTTGCTGGCTGTTTGCTGGAGGCCAACCTCAGTTCCTTGCCACGTGGGCCTCCCTGTATGGCAGCTTACAACATGGCGGCTGGCTTCCTGAGGGTGAGCAGATGAGAAGAGCCAGAGAGAGAGTGGTAGGAAGACAGAAGTCACAGCCTTTTGTAACCTAATTGTGGAAGCGCCAATCCCACCACTGTTGCTGTTTTCTGTTATTAAGCAAGTCACTAGGAGGAGATTACCCAAGGGCATGAATGTCAGGAGACGTGGGGATCACTGGGAGCCATCTGAGAAACCTGAATGGCGGGTCAAGTAGAGGATGCTTTGGCTCACGTGCCGGGTCCTTAAGAACCAGGTGGGAGAGGATTTCTTGGTGGCAGCAGTGAGGTCCTGGGAAGGACTTTGCTTGGTGCACCTCTCCTGTGTTTAGCATGCCGACATCACTTGAGATGGCACATGAGCCCCTGCCCTGCCACTGCTGTCCTTAAATGGGACTTCTCTCCACACGAAGTGCCCTGGAGCCTTTTCCTGAAATACTACACACAGTTACTCATCTTTAAAGGATTATTTTCTTCTGCAAAAATTCTTGACTTTTGTTTTAATGTTGAAAAATTAATATCTAGAAGGCAAAACCCAGAGGAGAAAAGGGAAAGCCTACGAGTAAATTTCTTAAAGCGTGTGTTGGGTGGTTTGTGTGTGAAACAGTTGCGAGGAGCATCTGCTGGAAGGTGGGTGGGTGCCTTTGAAGCTGTGGAAGTAGATATACTTAGTTGTCTTCCACGACTCCTCTTGGTGGTGGAAGCAGGAGGCAGGAGGGCATTTGTCTCTGTTCTTAGGTCAGTCCTTAGACAGACCAGGTACAATGAGATTGGAAGGTTGGCTTTTATTTTTTTTTAAGGGTGAATAGGCAAAGATTTCGTTAGGTGATGATGCTTGCAAAGGAAGAGTTAAACCACTAACATTGTGGCCCCTGGGATTGTTCTAACCACCAAATGCTCTCTGAAAACATAATTGATGCAGTTCCAATGATTTATTTAAATACAACTTAAGTATAAGAAGGGTGGTCAAAATCCTGGTGGTTAACTAATTTCCTTCCTTAAGGCAGCCTTGGAAATGAGTACAAATGTTGATGAGCCTCCAGAAACTCCTGGTCTCAGAATAAATAGGACCAGCATCGTTATTATGGGTAAGGAGCTTTTTGCAAATCTGAATTAGTGATTACGATATGATGGAAGACTAAGGGTGCCTAATGAGAAAATGCTGCTTGATTTTTAACAGGTGCAGTTCAGTTTTAATTGTTGACGACAACGTTCCGCTAAATGAAGAGCACCTATGTTCTAAAAGCAAAACGAGGAACCTTCAGCAGAATACCTTTAGCCTATCCCCAGGGAGGCACAGATGACCCAAGTATTTTTGTTGTTTCATGTTTGAGCCATTTCTGGAGTGAAAGAGAAATGGAATTTGAGTGCGTGGGAACAAAAATCTAAAATATATTTTGCTTTTTAAAAAAAAGGGCAAAAGGGAGAGTACCACACCTTTGGAACATGGTGTGCAGGCTGGCAGTGACGAGGGCATGTTTCTGGCCCTGCTGGGCTTTCTCTGTGGAGAAGAGGCTGTGGCAGTGGGGCCGAGCGGCCTGGGGGAGGAGTGTCACCCTGTGAAATACAAAGGTGGTCAACCTGGATTCAGTAAGGGGTTTTCACAACAGTTGTGGCATTGGACGTTCATTTTGGGGATACCGAAAACTCTTAGAAATTCCATTGAGCCCCAGGGGCTTCTGGGACCTGAAAGGGCAAGACAGAGATCTCTTATCTCATGGGAAAATGTAGTTACCTAAAGCATAAGCCTTGCTAATGGTGTGTTAGACCCACCCCAGGTCGTGAAGGCATTGGAGGTCAAAGAGGCCATACCCGCCTGCGGGCCTCCCTCGCTGGTCCAAGCTCCCTGGCTGGCGAGGGCCTCCTCAGGCTCACAGGGCCCTCTCAGGGACTGGACAAGGCAGAGTCAGGAGCTTGGTCATCCATGCTAGGTTTCCCCTCTGAAATTTTCTTTGTTACCTACATAAACTTTTAAAGAACTGTGCCTCTGAATGAACATTTGACCTGAGGAAACTGTACTGTATAGTTTGTAGTTTCCGTTCCTCGGCCCTTCCCCCAGAAGCAGCAAGACCTAAGTGACACACGGAGGGCCTGGCATCTAACTGTCCCTCTCCTCTGACTCCTGTCGCTTTGCCACTTTAACAAGAAACAAAGTGTCAAGTTTTCCAAGATGTATTTTTCCAGAAAGCAAGACCTGAAAGTTTCCACAAAGAAACTTGTGTTATTTCTGTGATTTTTTTTTTTTTCCTTCATAAATCTCGTTCCATAAACCATGACTGTGCCCCAGTGGCCCGGGTGTCTCCCTGTTTATGGGTCGGGCACCTTGGCCCCGGCCCACCGCGTCACAGCTTGTTTTGAAATGGTATGCATATGTGGCCAATGAAGGGAGAAGGGAACACACAAAACCAAAACAAAATCAAAGAGAAGTATGAAACGGGACAGAAAGCTTATTTTAATTAAAGTGACCAATAGAGCTATGTGGCATTGTGTGGTTCAGTCTTATTTATCAAAGAGCTCATGCTGAGCCATCCTTAGGTGATTAAGAGTCAATTTTTTTTTTTTTTTTTTTTTTTTTTTTAGTATGTAGGAAAGGCTGACTAGATGTTACTAATTTATTTGTGAATATCAATTTTGACTTGAAGCATAATCACATCTCCCTAATGGTCCTTATGCCTGGGCCTTTACTTCAGTCTTCACAGTGGGCGAGTTGTCTAAGCTCTCTGTGCTTCAGGTCACCTGTCCTGAGAATGAGGAAATTGAATAGATAATCTCAAACGTCATGATCCCTTCCAGCTTTAAAAACTGTGATTTTAGTGGCATAACCATAACGCAGCATCAACCATTTTTCATCTTAAACAACAGCGCAGATTTTTTTTTATATAAAGAGGTCCCTTTAAGGTGAGATAGTTCATAGGGCTCTGAACAGTTATTACAGTTTAATGCAGAAAAACAAGATGACTGAGGTAATTAATAGACCACCTCAATTCCCACCTCATTCCTGGGCAATGACTTAGGCATAGAGGGGAGAGTATTCTTAAAACCATCTTTCATGCCACTTACCAACTGCGTAAGAACCAAGAGAGATCACGGGATAAAGGGCTCCCTCACCGTGACCCCGGAATTGGCACAAGAGCCCACTGCTCAGGCATCCTGGAGGTTAGAATTTCCACGGAGCCCCTCAGCAGAGTGAAGCATTATAGAGTGTGGACTGTTAGTTTCCAAGTATATTTCAGGTCCAAGAAAAGACAACTTAAAAAACCGTTTTCTTATGATTACAACTTAACTGGTTGTTTGAATGGGTAGGTTAATTAGGTTTACATTTTCTAGGTTACTTAGATGTTGTTCTGGAGACTTTTGATTAAATGTTATGCTTAACCTGAAAGCATGTTTATTTGGAAAAATCAGTACTAATGTACTTAGTAATATATTTATAGTTTGTTGAGCTTTTTCTCGGCCAAGACGTTTCAGCCTTAATCTCAGAATAAGTGTCTGTGCTGAGGGAGCAGGTGTATGTTGGCCGATACCAACATACACTCACCTGCTTACCTGTGTCCTGACTCCTGGTGCCTCCCATGTACACGGCACTCAGTCCCCTGCTCAACCCAAAGAGGTAGGCACTGTTCTTTTGTCCCTTTTACAGATCAGGCTTGTCACATGGCTCCTAGGTGGCGGAGCTGC